CCCCCAGCGTTTGCCTCTGGCGCTTTTGCTGCCACAAGTGGCTGTGAGGATGCCTGTCCCTTTAAGAAATGGTTGCAGACAGGAACCAGAGACATGCAAGGCATGCCCCAGATTGTCCACCAGGGCTTCTTCCTGGAGGCCATTATTTTTGAAAAAATGGCCTCCCCGCGTCCACACTCACCTATTTTCGACGGATCTCTGTCGAAAAAGGCGTTCTTCCTCGTGCAATGAGGTTTACCGCCGTTGAAAGAAAAGCCGCATTCTTTTGATTTATGCAGACAGGAACCAGAGACATGCAAGGCATGCCCCAGATTGTCCACCAGGGCTTCTTCCTGGAGGCCATTATTTTTGAAAAAATGGCCTCCCCGCGTCCACACTCACCTATTTTCGACGGATCTCTGTCGAAAAAGGCGTTCTTCCTCGTGCAATGAGGTTTACCGCCGTTGAAAGAAAAGCCGCATTCTTTTGATTTAATTTCGAAAGAACGCGGCTGTAGTCTAGATGCAGGTGAAGTTTTTTCGAAAAAAGGATACTTTTTTCGAAAAAAACCCTGAGTCTGGACACAGCCACTCAGGTCTCAGCACAGAATGTGTTCACAGATGTGTCTGGGTCATGATGTGGTAATGAAATGTGTTCTGCGGTGCTGCACACAGACCATTGCTGATATAACCTGCACCCGAGGCCATGCTGATTCTGGGCAGTCCCAAGATACGGGAGGCAAATGTCATCCCTTCTCAGTCCCTGCATGGGCATGCACCAACACAGAGACTGATAGGGGTTGAATGTTGGGTTTGCGTGTTTTAGCAAAACTCACTTCGCTGCAAAATCCAGGGTATGTCTGTGGCTTCTCGCTGGAGAAAACATTCTTGTGCATGAATATATATATTTAAAAAGTCCTAGGCTGAAAGATGCTTGTGTCCCACCCAATTACTTCAGAACTTTCTTCTCCAATTTCATGATCTTTAAATACGTCTGCAGCTTCTGAAATTACAAAATAATAGTAACAACCACTATCAGCCATTGTAAACTTCAGGGGAAGCTGGAGGTTATCAGTGAAATATTTCTCCATTCAGAATACCCATTTTTAAGATGTTATAGGCCATGTTTCTTCACAAAGCAGACGCCAGCAGGATATGGGTGACTTGGCAGATCAGGAATCACAGCTTGGACACCAGACCACATTCCTGATTCACATTTGTTAGCTTGCACCTTACAAGTGATTTTTTTGCTCTAGGAATCAACAGGACCTCCAGCGGGAGATTGCGGCGGCTTGGCGACCCAACAAGTCCAAGTAAGTGGCATTAATACACCTGTTTCCCTGAGATGCTCTCCTCCGGTAGAAAGGTCACTTCTCCTGTGCTTGCCGCCTAGCTATTAGGGAGAAGCTTTTCCACCTTTTGTCAAATATCAAGTGCTGTTAGAAGGGGAGCTGGCTGCTAATGAATGCAGAGAGAGGCTTCCATACCCTATGTATTTGACACTGTAGAATTAGAGATGAATTACCTATTGAATGGCAGATCATGAGAAAGCCGCACCTTAAGTCAAGGGTTTGACACCGTGAGCAGAAAGTGAGAGTACCCTGAGGCTGAATTACATTTCTGGTAATAAATGGCTCTTGCTCACTCACCTTAGCCATTATGTTTTATTGCACATGGAGATTTATGGATTGTGTGTGCTTCTGCTTAAAATGACATTCTTAATTGCAGCTTGACATGATTTAAGCTGTTTCCAATTCAGTGGGAAGCTGGTGGGAGGGTTTCCCTCTTTAAACAGGTGTCTCGCAGACTCATTGCTGCACTTCTCTCTCGTCTCTCTTCAGCAGCATTTTGGTTCGGTTGGAATCCCTCTCTGCATGGTATGAGCAGAGCTTTACAGTCCTGCGGCTGCTAACTGTGAGAACTCAGCCCAGTCGGGGGAGGAGATAATGGAGCAATAGGGGCAATGCCTGAGGGCAGCATGGACTTTAGGAATATGGGAAGTTATAGAGTAATAGATTTTTAGAGTCATTAGATCTAACCTGGCCTGGGATTGTCCTGGAGCCAGCTTGGACCCTGGTGCAGCTTAGACCCACCTGGGGGCTACTTAGGCCACATTGGTTCCTGGGGGGTTGCACTTATCTAGGAGGTCATGTCTGAGATTTGCACTAACCCAGTGCTCAGTCCCAAACATCCCACGTGTCCAGATCTCAGAGGAGGCCAGTGGAACTCAGTTAGAAGAGCAGAAAGGCCGTAGTAAGGAGCAATGTTCCCTCTTATTTTTTCCACCCATGTGTAGAATAAATTTTGTTATGTTCACAGAGACATGTACAGATGTGCCCTACCAATAGAAGGACATGCTGCTGGCTATGGGCAGCTGTGTGTGCTCTGCAAATCAGCTGGGAGGCTCTCTGGGTGGCTGTCCAAGAGCTCATCTTAAAGGGAACACTGGTATGGGGGATGTTGCAGAAGTCCCCAGTAGGAAGATGCTCAATGCAGCCAATGCAAAGGATTTGGGGACAGGGCTGGATCTATTTCCATCTGGGTAGAGTTGAGGGGGGTAGTGGGAAGAGCCCAGAAAACTGCTTAGAGGGAACCAAAAAGGAGAAAACCAGGATGGAATGAAAGTCAGAGATACAAAGGAAGGGTTCTGGCTGAGGCAGGGCTGGAAGAACAGAGGTGCTGTGCTTAGCCTAGCAATGTACCAAGCACCAATCTTGCTTGAGGAACCCTAGCGCCTGTGTATTTGACTTGCGGAATTGGCCTGAAACAACACGGTTACTTTGACATTCACTAATGAGTATCCGGGTAGAATAAAGTGTTTTCCAACAGGTTTCTGTGTGTTGCCTTTTTGGATATCTGATTTGTGTCCATTAATTCTTTCCCGTCGAGACTGTCCAGTTTGGCCAATATACATGGCAGAGGGGCACTGCTGGCATTTGATGACATAGATCACATTAGTGGATTTGCAGTTAAATGAGCCCCTGATGTAGCGGCTGATATGGTTGGATCCAGTGATGAAATCACTTGCATAGATGAGTGGACAGAGTTGGCACTGGAGTTGATTGCAGGGGTGGGTTTCTGGATGAGTATGATGGAAGTGTGCTGTGTGGTTGCTGGAAATAATTTGTTTGAAGTTAGGGGGTTGTCTGTAGATGAGGACTGGCCTTTTCCCCAAGGCCTGTGAGAGTGAGGGGCCATTTTCCAGAATAGGGTGTAGATTGTGGATAATGCGTTGGAGGGGTTTAAGTTGGGGGCTGTAGGTGATGACAAGTTGAATTCTGTTGTTTTCTCTTCTTGGCCTGTCTTGAAGTAGTTCATGTCTGGCTCTGTCTGTTTTTCACTTCTCCAGGTGAGCATTTCAGTTTTAAAAATGTACTATATAGATCCTGTAGGTGCTTGTCTCTGTCTGTGGGATTGAAGCAAATCCGCAGATTAGACACAGTGCCACTGTTTGCCAAATGATGTCCCTTGTCCAGCAAGATCCCCGATGGGAGTTCCACAGTTATTGCTATCCCAAGGTACCCCAAGGTACCCCAATACCCCAAGGTCAGGGATGCATGGTCAGAAGTACTGTACAGACACAGGGTCACTCCCAGCAGCTAGACAAGACAGGTGATGCATCGGCTGGGGGGCAGGCTCAGAGAGGGTCAGTGTCTTGCCCAAGTCCACCCAGCATGTCAGTGGCAAAGGCAGGATTGGAGTCGAGGTATGCTGAGTGCCAGTGCAAGTCCCCATGTGTTGGGCTGCACCGCCAGTGGCAAAGGCAGGATTGGAGTCGAGGTCTGCTGAGTGCCAGTGCAAGGCCCCACGTGTTGGGCTGCACCGCCCGTGCAGTGACATTTCCCAAGGAAAACAAACCCCATTTCAAATGGAGTGGACTCCTTTGTTTTTGCAACCTGGGAAATGACTTCTCACGGCTGTGCTGGGGAGCCTGGAAACAACTTCCTCCCCAGTTGCAGGAGTATGAGCTGTGGGTCTAGAATGAGGGTCGAGTTTCAGGAGGGACTTAGCTCAGTGTGGCACCAGGAGGTTCAGGAACTCATCCAGGCCTAAGATGCTTGCACATAAAATGCTAGAGCCCCAGCACTTAGCTCTGTGAGTAACAGATACCCACCTACAGCTCCACCTGCCTGCTGCACTGCTCACTGCTAGTTCAAATAGAGCCATGGATGCAGCTATCCAAATGGCTGGGGGAAACTTTCTGGAGGAGATGCTGAGGAACAGAGGGAACTGGCTGCTGCTTGCCTCCATAAATCCATTTCCACAAGTGTTTGCTGAAGTCGAAATAGCTTAATTCCTGTTCACAGCAGGAAGTTGAAGGAAGAATACTCTTCCTGGGACTTCCCTTGTTCCTCGTGAAATGAGGGTTACCACGAGTTGGAATGAGAAGTCCTCCAGCTCGACATTTTGAAATAATGGCTTGCAGTGTAGACGCGCACTATGATTTTCGGAATAATGTCAATTATTCTGAAACAATGCTGCCGTGTAGATGTTCCCCTTGAGTAAGTAGGGGAATGGTACTGCTACTGTGCAGTACTGTCCTGGCTTCTACACTACCCGGAGAAATGTGCTAGTGAAAGGATCTGAGTCCCGGCTCCCACTCCATTTACACAGAGACCCCCTGACCTCAAGGGCTCCCCTTCCACTCTCCTGTGTGGCCAAGCCCTTCTAATTCCAGCAAAGCTGGGCCCAGGATTCCTGGGAGGCTCAACCCATCAACCTTCTGGCCACTAGACCAGGGGCTGAGATGTCCCTACTCTGAGGTGCTCTCTCTACACTAGACACTTCCCTGAGGTAATCAACATTATACACGCATCAAAGCAAACACACGGGGGTCCCTACTCTGAGGTGCTCTCTCTACATTAGACACTTCCCTGAGGCAATCAACATTATACACGCGTCAAAGCAAACACACGGGAGAGTTTTAGAAAAGAGAGAGCTAAAGGAAAACACATAACCCTGCCCTATGGCACAGGGACATGGCCGCCGCCCACTCAGCCACCAACCTGCACAGCAACGTACCTTCCATTGCTTTAGCATGCAGCATCTCTTCAATGAGGAGTTACTGAGCATCCTCACAAACATCGCTTGAGACCAGTTCCTTGCACAAGTTGTCACAGGATTGGCCATAGGGTCCCCACCCAGAATTCCCTCCAGTTCTTTATAAAACCAGCATGTTTTGAGGGCAACACCAGACTGGCTGTTTGCTTCCTTTGCATTGTGCTAGGCCTGCCAGAGTTACTTGATCTTGGTTCTGCATTGTAGGGTGTCTTGCTCATACCCCTTCTCACACAGGGCTCGAGATATGTGACCCAGTTCTTACAGTTCACTTGCAGCTCTGATTGCACCGAATCTTCACCCCACACATTGATTAGATCCAAAAGCTCCACATTGCTCTGAGCTGGGGAGCATTTGGATCAACAGTCACCATGCCTGTTTCCAATGTGCCACAGACTTACTCAGAAAAAAGCCCATCTGGTACACACTGCGTGATTGTCGACAGTGCAGAAACGAAAATCCCTCATGGCGCTGGACATTTTTTGTCTCATAACAGCTATATGTCACAACATTTGTCGTGCTGTGATGTGGACACTCAGAGATTTTTGTCATCCAAAGGCAGTTTTCTCAATGAAACATGCTAATGTAGACAAGGCCTTAGTAGATGTCCCAGTGTACCTGGAGTACAGAGGTGCTAGTTTGAAAGACACAGAATAGTTGCTTTAGAATGGTTTCTTCGGACACTGAGTATGTATTTTTCCCTTTTTCTGGTGTGAATCCTTTTTATTTTAAAAAACTTTTTCACATTGAAAATCTTAATGAGCAGATCAGCACTTTGGCTTATGCCACAGTCAATATTTACAGCTCCATTGGCTCCGTTTCCATTCATTTCAGGGCCAAATTTCCTCTCCCCACTCTCTTGCCTTGCCCTTCAGAGCACTTATAACTGGGTTGATTGTGGGGCTTCCCTTATAACTGTTGCTCAGTCAGGGATGGCGTTTTAATTTTTGCTGCCCTAAGGGGCCTTTCCATTGCCATCACACCCTGCAAGCCAGATTTTAAAGAGCTCTGTCCATCAGCAATGGTGTGAAGAACTGGCCCAGAGTTGTCTTGAACCCTGGCCCCGTGACCCCAAGCCCATCTTCTCCCCTCCCTGCTGTACCAATGCCACTTTGCCTCGCCAGTAAGCAGGACAGCTCCTCTGGTTCCAGGATGCCATCTAGCTAGGTCCAGTGGTTAGGTTCTGTGGGGGAGGGGAGGTGCCTCAATTCCCTGCTCTGTCACACACTTCCTGTTCGACCTTGGGCAAGTATTA